GGGGGGGGGTGGGGGGGGGGGGGGGGGGGGGTGACCATTCAGTGTGTACTGGAGGCTACTGTGTTGTGCCCGGATTGTATATTAACATGTGGTTGGCATGTTATGAGTATTTATCTGTAACAAATGTAAACCTATTTAGTATTGAGGTTGGTTTTTCTCCGTAGACTGCAATGTGCGTCTCCTTGGAAGCACGATTTTTTTGTTGTTGCTTTTCACACCGCCATCTAGTAGCGTTTAATATGTGGCAGTCTGGAGGATAGGTTATTTCGTCCTCGTTGTGTTTCTACTTCATGTTCAGTGTCTGTGTAAGCAGTGATGCATATTTTGTAATCTGTCTGCGTAAAGTCTGTACTTGTCAATCTGTTTGTGCAGAATGTGTTGTTGACGTAATAGATGATATTTGTTCCTAGTCCACCGGTTTCTTGTCAGTTGAGCATTGTATGTTGGAAGGTTACAATAATGGCGAAAAATACGTGCTCCATAATATCAGAGGTACGTACACGTATATTTAATGAGTTTTAATAGTGTAGCAGGATCCTGAAGTCACTACTGAAAGCTAGAAACAATTTTCCTTAGTCTTCCACATGCCTAAACAATATATATTGGATGTTCAGTGTTTTGTCTCACTATAACGAGGTATGAGGTTATCACATCAGTGAATATGTCTGTTTAAAATTATTAGTTAAAATCTCCTTACCTTGAAAACGAACCAAACTGAATCAGAATGAAAATTGCTGTACAAATTAATGTAAGCCTTCTGAATGAAGTGTCATAAAAATGGCCCTGTAGTTTGGATGCTGTTACTTACAGATGGATATACATAATGAAACTGATAGTTGCATTTCAAAGTACTGCAAAGAATTTTGGTTATGTCTGCCAGTCTCAAACATTTTATCCAAAATAATTTCCTGTCTAGTTTTTATTGGCTACATACACTGTCAAGGTGTACATCGGTCCAAATCTTGTAGTATGGACCTCAGTAATAGTGGCATTGCATCTCCTATAATTTATTAATTTCTTTGCAGATTGAAAAAGCTGAAGAATCAGTAAAAACATGCTTTTATAAAGTACAAGCAATAGAAAAAAGTCTTAAATCACATTTAATATCTATGGAAGAAAGGTAAGTGTGCTCCATACATTTAATTTCTTATAAATAATAAGAGATGATGTGGAAAGATGACACACTGTAATTGTTCATACTTATGTATGAAATAAATTGAAGTCAGTTGGGTATCATTTGCAATAAAATTCTATTTAATAACATCACTCTGATGTGAATAAAAACCAGCTGTATCATCATATGAGATTTGGTGTTATTGTGGTGGTGAAAATGTCAGTGTTTTGTCTTGGGGGGGGGGGTTTAACACTTATTGGTGGCAGTATTGTCCTCCAAAATGCTGGAATGTGCCTTCAAGTCCACATGGCAGTACAACTCTTGACGTATTTTAGTGCTTCAGTCTGCAATATCTTCAATTTTGCAGAGAAAGGCTAGAAAAGGAACTGGCCGACGTGAAGAGTCTTCTAACGCAGAATGAGTCTGAGATACGAAATCTACGTAAAGAGAACAGTAAGACGTTTGCAGTGGCTGTGATGATCATGTTCTTTGCCTTTTTGATATATGGGATTTATGTAATGGTTATAAATCCTGTGAAAAGTAGGTATATAGGTTATGCATAAATGTGAAATATTTATTGAAGTTTATTGATTTTGATACAGAGTTTACAATGCAATGGATTTTTTTATGAAATATATTTTTTTTAAACTTACATGACTGTTCTTTAAAAAATATGGATATCAATTAGAAAGTGTTTGAATTTTAGTTAATGCATCTTGAAATGGAAAACCGTAGTTCCTGAACCAGTGTTGTGAGATTGACTATAAAGTGACAGTGGATTTGTTCTCGTCAATTATTAGCGTGCGTGTAACATCAGTCTGATAAAAGTTATGAATTCAGACTGATCAGAATTGTGAGGTTTTACTACTTATTTTTTACTGATTGTATTTTATAAATTATTTGATTAAAATATGCAATTTTAGTGTAAAGTTTTATAATGTAATGTTTGATGACAAACTTTGGTATTGAAGTGACTTAATGAGTCAGTGCAGCCATGATTCAGTACCCACAATAATTTTTTGAAGTTCCAGTCCATGATGTAGGATTATTGATTATTTTATGCAGAAACAATTTTGAGAGACAAATAAGGCATATACTGCAACTTTTTTTCAGGCAGCTGACAGATAAAAACTTCACGGATACATCCTAAATTCTTCAGATGCATATATGAAGCAGTCCATGCAAACCTTGAACAGTTTCATGAAATGAGTTATAAGCCATTTATGGGCTTTTCATCAGTTTTTTTTTCTTGTGGGGATATTTGAAAGAATAAGTTCTGCTGCACAAATTTGCACATGGAAGAAGTCTAAAAAACATTAATCTTTAAGCGTCTTGTATAACTTGAAAGTACAGCAAGTGAACATTTTCAACATCTCCTGCGACATATGTAAGTAAACTTCTTTGAAGAAATTTTAGAAGACAATGTATAATTTGTCTCTGGAATTGTTCTTGGTATGCTTTTGTTTATTTAATGAAAAAAACCATTGTAGTTACTGTTTTGTTTATTTACTATAAAAAATGAATTTCACAAATTTTAATGGCAAAGAGGTAATGAACAAGAACCCATTATGTGAAATTTGAGGTTCTCATGGTTGTGAAGATCGCATTCTTCTGGGTCATGACACCACAGACTCGTAGGTAGAACGACATACTACCTCCATATGTTTCTGCACAGAATCACAACCCAGAACATTATCAAGAACACATAATGATTTTGATGTCTTAATTTTCATTGGGCGTGTTTTAAGTATATGTAGTGGGACCTGGAAAGAATAACAGCTTCATATAAGACAAAGCACGACTAGTGTCCCGTTAATCGCGTGGGATAACTCTTGATTAGGTAAATGGATCCAACTGTGAAACAGCAACCTTCATGCTTCTTGCCAATGAGAACCTCAAATGATTATATACGTTATGAACGAAAATAATGAGCTGACCAAGTCTGCAAATTACAATGTTGTTACAGTCACATTAAAAGAAGTTTTGTCACAGGAATCATTACATACTTCAGAATATGATACACACTTTAGTAACACAGCATTTATTCAGCGCTCCACACTTGAGTCCACTTATCACAAGACAAAGTGCCAAAGTTCACAGTTGCAGTATAACCGTTCATAAACTGCTAAAACGCCGTGCACCAAATATGCATGGACCCTTCATCGCCTTCCTCTACCTCTTCCACGACCTCGTCCTCTGGCTCGCCCGCGTCCTCTACCCCGGCTCGCACCTGTGAATAAGATATGCTTGCTTAGTTAAACTGATAATTTTGGTGCGACTCCACATATAATGGAATTTAGAATAGTTTGTTGTACCTCGTGCAGCTTCCTTCTTCTTTGCTTTCGCTTTTGGAGTGTCGTCTATTAGAAGCGTTTCCAAGGGAAGTGAATCTGGTAGGATGTAGTAGCGAATGTTGTTACCTCGAATGCTTAAAGTTTCTAACTGTACTGGATCTCTGTTTTTTACAGTCATTTTCACTGCTTTCAGATGAGTATTCATAGCGACATCCACACCTAAAAAAAGTCATAAGGTGATGTCAGATTTCAGGTAGTTGTGGAAAAACAAATTTATCGTAGTTCCTTCTGCCATGAACTCTGCACATCTTTTATGCAAAAATTACAAATTCTGTTTTTCATTATGCACCACATACCCTGTGAAATGGTAATTACTTCAGTTTCATTTCTCACAAAACCAGTTTTATACATGTTGAAGTGTGCAGTCACCCTGATTTTCTAAACACCACGAAGCTTTCAGTAGCTCTGTACAAGAATTCATATCGGCTAATTATGCTGTGTAACAAAATAGTAAATTTAGTAAAAAAATTTGGGGTTATGTGTGATTCCACTTTTTCAGTCTGGTTAACTGCTAGTTATATTTTGAGCTAAATGCTATGCCACGCTCACTGCAGAACAAACTTTTACATTATTTCATATGGCTTATACTTACCAGTTATTGTTCCGTGAACTTGGGTTCCATTTTTTAATTCAATGGTAACTGTCTCATGGCTCAATTTCATCAAAAACCTGAAACATAAAATACTACCATTACTTAAATCAACTGAAATTTGAGGAGGTTTAAGACTATTTGTATTTTGTGCAACATTTGTACAGTGAAAACAATATAAAATACAAACACCGGTCACTTAACAGTTACAGAAATTCTTAATCGGTTTGTCTGCAGATAAGCTTTATAAATTCGTAGTTGGAAGTATTTTTTCAAATCAACTCAGCATCATAATTATCCATCAACACAATATATAAAAATATTCGGCGAAATAAATGTTCAATACAAGTGGACCAAATAGAAGCTATTGTTTTACGTAACTTCACTGAAATGATAGCACGCCTACATCATCATAAATATGCTACAAATGTGGAAAATATGTTATTAGTCTACATGGAAGGGATATAAACCCCACATACCTTACTAATTTCATGATGTTCGCTGATATCCGACACAACTATTCACTTATTTTACCGGCAAACGCTATGGGTGCGAATCATAGCTTCTCTTTGTACAGTCATTTTAAAAACGTATTCCTAGTAATGTACGTTGTATCAGTTCTCCTCGGTTGATTATCTTAGAGAATTTGTCGAGCGTGCTACAAACACGTCGAAACGAATAAGGCGGCGCTGGAAGCCATGTGTACCAACGTGATGCTCATAGTTTCATGCTATTACAGGCTGCTGTTAAACATGTCAGAAGTGTATGAGAATTTATGTATTTGTGATTTTGCATAATTACCATGTCCTGAAAGAGTAAGGATCTGTAGTGCTCACATCACATACATTACACACACCTAATGTGGTAAACTTGATAATAGGCTACATATTGTGTTCATAACGATACAGATCTCTTGGTTGTGTCAATAAATATTGGCCTTACCATGTGTTAAACTGTTATTGTGTATTCGTGGCATATAAAGGGTTAGTAATGTAAGATTTGTACGTGAATTTCAGATGGATTCAAGAGACGATGGTTCGTCAAGTCATGGCAGGAAAGTGTCTCTTATTACCGGCATAACGGGGCAGGTATGTGGGCTTTCGAATATTTTGACTGCCTGTGTGTCCAAAATTTTGAAGATAACATGAATTACTGTCTTCATAAATATATGAAACAGTACATTTGAAGATACGTGAAGTTTTTAATGGATGTCACACCTGTACAATTGAACACTTAGCTGACAAAACTAATCTGGGTGCAATACTAATTGTATTTTCATATATTCAGTATAATTTTCTCATATCAGTATGAATGAAAATGTTGATGTTGAGTGGTTAGTGTTCAGGGATTTGTGACATTTTCTTACCAAAAGTAAAAGTAACAAATTTTGCTAACCGAAAAGCCCCAACTGAAGTCTGCTTAACCGATAAGTGATGTGAAGTTTTGATTTAAAATTCATTTCCATGCCATTCTTAGGATGGGTCTTATCTGGCAGAATTTCTCCTGAGTAAAGGGTATGAAGTACATGGAATTATACGACGGGCAAGTACATTTAATACTGCCCGTATTCAGCATCTTTATGCTGATCCTAAGTCCCATCGTGAGGGAAAAATGCAGCTGCATTATGGAGATATGACAGATAGTAGTTGCCTTGTGAAGATTATCAGCACAGTACGACCCACTGAAATATATAATTTGGCAGCACAAAGTCATGTGAAGGTAAGTTTCTTGTGGGACTGTTTGAATCAATTTATGGTACAGAATTTATAGTCGTCATTTCAAAGTAAGTCGTCCGAATGAGGGTATAGACTGGATTCATTTGGCTCTTGTAAGAACAATCGGTAGGCTGTTATGAATATGATAGTGAACTGTTTGGTTCTTTAAAAAAACAACACAACAGCACTTCTTGATTATCTGTGTGTCCATCAGCTTCTCAAGAAGAATTCTGCTGCATGAAGTCAGTTTCATATAAATACAATTTGAAATGTTACCTCCTTGTCAAAATTCAGTTAGTGACAGATGTATGGGAACATGGAGATAATGCTCTTGTCCGTCTCACCATACACACTGGAAGGAGATGTTTGGTCAGCCACCTCAGTCCTTCATCTTCCCTTTCAGAGTGTTGATGTCGTTTGAGTGCGAGGGTGTCAGTGCTGGATGTTGCAGTAAAGACGAAACATCTCCAGTGCCCCTGTCAGGAAATATACTGTACTTATCCAAATGATTGACATATACTTCATGGACTGAGCTAATTCTGAATTAAAGTATCTCATTGTTTTCTAGAACATAAACTGAATCATTTTTAAAATAATGGTGAATGTCAGCAAATTGAAACAGTAGGCGGTGAATATGTCAGTTGTACGTAACCAGCACCTTAGAGGAATGTGTTGCCTCCATTTTCAGGGTTCTACTTGATATGAGGCTGTACCCATAAAATTTCTGGGTTGTGTTAAAATCATGTTTTTTTTTAATTTCTCTTTGACTGATTTATCATATCTCCTTCCTTATTGCCTTCACACACTTACACAGTAAGTGCAGTGATTCTTCTATTGCTGGAAATATTTCTGGAATTTTATTTCTTAGTTTTCTTCAGTGCCCCATTTGTTGCTCTACTAAACTGTTATTAAATCTCCAGTCACAGCCAGGTATTCTTTGGGTTTGGTGATATTAGTACATGCTGCCACAAATGCAAAGTGCATTTCCATGATGGGTTTAGAGAAACATCGAGCAATAGAATGTTTAGGCTTATGTGATTTATGTTGTTAACATGATACTGTTTGCTTTCTTTTGTTTCTTCGTGTCGAACTGATGTTATATGTGAGCTCAAATTAGTATAACAATAGAACATTAAAATTTTTGTGGCACTGTTCTAAAACCTTGAAGAAGAAACAATGGAGATTATATACTGAGTTGCACCAACAACTATTAAGGAAAATGTAATGATTATAAATGTGAGAATAATTTAAAAGAGGGGGGAAAACTGAGAAAAGTTATCAAGGCCTTTAAATATATGTTAGTGACTGTTTTGTAGCACTGTTATTAAACCTGATTGGTATATTTAATTGTTTTCCTTGGATAAAGATAATGAAAGATTGTGTTCAATACAAAAGTTCATGGTGTCATGGATGCTAATTTACTTTTAATACTAGTACTGACTATTTTTACATTTGTCTTGAATGTGTTCTGAAATTATTAAAATTAAATTATTGCCGATTGTTACAGGTGTCATTTGATCTTAGTGAATATACAGCAGAAGTAGATGCTTTAGGAACACTGAGGCTCTTGGATGCTATTAGAACTTGTGGATTACAGACATCAGTTAAGTTTTATCAAGCTTCTACTTCAGAACTCTATGGGAAAGTACATGAAATTCCACAGACGGAAACTACTCCATTTTATCCTCGATCTCCTTACGGTAATTAACGTATAATTTAATTCTTAACGTCGATTAACTTATTGTTCATATCAAAATATTATTGAGATGAAGGAATTGAGGTTTTCATGACAGTGAGTTTGAAGATCGCTGTCTTCTGCGGGCTATACAACGCGACAACCCAGAAGGCAGCCATCTTCATTATTGAGATGTTTAAATTTCTTTTGTAGCCTGTGCCAAGTTGTACGGATACTGGATAGTGGTGAATTACCGGGAAGCATATCAGATGTTTGCCTGTAATGGAATCCTTTTTAACCATGAGAGTCCACGAAGAGGTGAAAATTTTGTAACTAGAAAAATTACGAGATCTGTCGCAAAGATTAGTCTCGGACAGTTGGAATACGTTGAGCTGGGTAACCTGGATTCTAAGAGGGACTGGGGACATGCGAAGGATTATGTAGAGGTAAGCGACGTAGACACCTCACAATTCCGCGATGTACGTAAATTATAATGCACTCTGCGATGAGATTGATTTTGATTTGGAGGTGGTTGCCTTCTTGGTTGTAGCGCCACGTAGTCTGGTAGAAGTTTACCGACATGCATGTGCCTCCCTGGTGATGTAGGCAGCAAGTACCTCTGATATTTCAGTAGACTTCTACCAGACTACACAGCACTACAACCCAGAAGACGGCCATCTTCGTACTTCCTTCCACGAAATAAAATCCTACTGATGTTAATTACTATTAAAATTTGTCTGCGGTGATTGCAGTTACTGTGCGCTGTAATTATTGAAAATATGACATGTATTTTTGCAGGCAATGTGGCTTATGCTTCA